CTTCTACAAAGCCATGTTGGGGCTTCCATGGCCACTGCTATCCCCAAAGCCCATCCCTGTTCCTCGGAACCCTACCATGACCAGCCAAGGCATAGCTCAGGGTATCTGATTCCCGGGTACTTTTGTCTGCAATAACATAATGACTTGTCCTTCTGAGAAACCATCAGTGCTGGTAAACTCCTGCCACTAACCTATATTACACTGATCTCTCCCTAAACCTTTGCAGTTATTAATAGTTTATTGATTGCAGCCCATTGCTGGTGAAAAGTAGCCCCTACCCAGACTCCTGTTATCTGTAGACAGCCTGGTAACCAGTCAGCAGATCAATGCCACTCAGTTCCTGGAGAAAAGAACTCTCTGGGATGCTTAATCTGTCTTAGAGGCGGGGCAGCTGAGGTAAAATCTAAGCTCAGGTAAAGAGAGCCAGGCTGCAACAAATCAAGCTTGTGTCCTAGGTAGAAATGAGCCTGTGGAGAGGAGAGGGAGGAAGGCATAACTGGAACACTGTGCTTGGCCTTGCAGTTCCATCAGGCGGGCAGCATGTGTTTGTGGCTGGGCTATCACACATGCCATCCCCCAACAGTAATCAAAACAATATCTCCATATTCCTGGGGAAGATATGATGATCAATGCCCTCCAACTCTATTCACTAGCCCCAAACCCTCCTCCTTGGCCACTACTTCTCTGGAGAGACTGTCTTCCCCTATTAGAATATAAGCCCCTGGAGGGCAGGGACTGTCTTTCTTTTTGTCTTTGTATCCTCGTTCTTAGCATATGCCTGGCATGCTGTCAAATCCTTAATATTCATTCTTTCATTCATTCCTGTCTTCAATACAGGCATACCTGTCCCCTGCAGAAGTCAACTCTCTATCTGCGTCATCTATATATCTCCTGTACAGCTACTGCTCACCTACATATGCCACCTATATATGTACCACTCACTTCTATATGTGTGTGTGTATGCATTGTGTTTTTATATATATATATATATATATATATATATATATATATATATATATATATACTTTTATATCCATGCATATTATATACATATATATGTATATACATTGTGCGTGTGTCCCATCCAACTACTAACCAGGCCCCTGTGTGTGTGTATGTATAGGGACAGCTAAGTGGGGACTGTGGACAAAGTACCGGGCCTGGAGTCAAGAAAACTCCTCTTCTTAAATTCAAAATCTCTTCTTGAATTCAAATCTGGCCTCCAACACTTACTAGCTGTGTAACCCTGGCCAAGTCACTTATTAACCCTGTTTACCTCAGTTTCCTCATCTGTAAAATGAGCTGGAGAAGGAAATAGCAAACCACTCCAGTGTCTTTGCCAAGAAAACCCCAATGGGGTCATGAAGAGTCTGCTACGACTGAAAAATTACTGAACGATAACAAAATATCTATGTATGTGCATATGTAGACATTATATATACATATCTTAAATATGTAATTATGAATCAATACATGTTTATATTATATATTTATATAATTGATAATTTCTGTTTCTATTTCGTATCATACGCCACGCACCCACCTATCACTTTAAGCATATATCCAAAGGATATTTATCAGTCACCTTCACAAAAATCCTGTGCTTGCATCACTCATCTCCATATGTTGTCTATCACTTATCTTTGTCCCTTCTTACTGTTCCTCACACATGACTTCCTTTCTCCCATCTCCAAGCCTTTGCACAGGCTTTCCCTCGTGCTTGGAATGCACTCCTTCCTCACTTCTGTTTCTCCAAATGCCTAGCTTCTTTCATAGATCAGCTCAAGCACCCCCTCCTATAGGAGGCCTTTCCTGATCCGCAGCGGCAAGTGGCTCCTCCCCCTACAAATAATTATCTTGTATTGTATTTATTTTGGCAATATATTGCATGTATTTCTATTCTACCCCTAAGTGAAGAGGCATCTATGTAGATGTAGGCAGTCATGGTAAATAGCAAGCTGTCCTCAGAGCCAGAAAAGGCTGGGTTCAAGTCCTGCCCCTGACATCAAATGGCTGTGTGATCCTGGGCAAGTCATTTAATTTCTCAGTGCTCAAGGCAACTCTCTAAGATTATATACTGCAGAAGAGGTGCCAGCCTGCATTGGTAAAATGAATTTCTTCATCTGGAAGTTCCCTACTGCAGTAAAATCACAGAGCTAGTCTCTAAGCACCTTATGGATAGGGACCGTTTCATTTTTGCATTTGTATTGCCAAAGCTTAGCACAATGTCTGCCGCATGGTAGGTGTTTATTAATAAGCGTGTGTTGTTTGCTTGATCTCTTGATCAATCTCTTGTGCATCTATCATTCACCTGTGTACATCACCTATCACTCAGCTACACGCACATCCCAGAGTCCTCCATAGATATCTCTTATGTATCTATTGCTCACCTACATATATCACCTGTGTACCTATCAATCCCCCCAGCATATCACCTGTCTGTCAATCACCAACCCATACCACCTGCATAACTGTTATCTCTACACAAATCACCTATGTTGGAGTCTCCATAGCCCACACTAATGGTGCACCTGAGCTCTATAGATAATATAAGCTAGGTAAGGGGTGGTTAACCAGATGATTGGTATGCCCGTGATCAGTAATTGCACAGATGACACGTGCATAGTGGAGATATTACCAGAGAGACAATGTAGTACAGTGAAAATAACAAAGCTTCTCAAGTCAGAGGACCCGGGTTTGAATCCCATTCCTGTCTCTACCTCTCGAACCTCAGAGAAATTACTTCCCTTACCTGGGCCTCAATTTCCTCTTCTACAAAGTGAAAGATTTGGACTACATGACCTCTGAGGTTTCTTTTAGCTCTAAATCTATTATCTCTCCCTAAACAGAAACCTTCATGTATCTCTTGAGTATATTTAGGTATCTGTCATCTACACATGTCATTAAAATTCATATCATTTCTATATCACCTGTAACATATCACCTGTGTACTTCTCCCAATATGGATCATCTAGGTGGCTGTCATCATAATTGTCACTTGTTGGGTGACTTGGATTGCTTGGCCAGGACACAAGCAGAGGCAGACAGAGTCCCTGGGGCTTCCTGCAGCCCTGAGCCCCAGGAAACTGGGCTTCTCCACAATAAGTATTCAGTAATCTCAGACAGCATCAGGGATGACATACTATCGGTCCTTCCAGCCTCTGCTGGGGGCAAGGCCCCACCCACCCTCTCTGTGCCACATGTCAATGTCTCCTGGGTTCCTTCGATCCCTAAAGGGAAGAGAGTTTGGCTGGATCTGCAGAACAATGGATGAAAAGAAAGGCTTCAGGTGAGGGAGTTCATCCAAAGAACAGTGAGTCACAAGGCAAGGAGCCGGAAGATGAAGAGGGAGACAGAGACAGTTGAATCAGAAGACTGACGCAAGTCTTCAGATGAAGTGGGAGATAATAACAAGCTGGCTAGAGCTAAGTCCTGAAGACTCTCCTGAGAAGAGGCAGGGAGTAGGGGAGGGAGTAGTCTAGGCAGGGGCTACCTGGCAGCCTGGATGCCAAGGGGAGGCCTGATGAAGAAGGTAAAAGGAGCCTGCCTCCTCAGTGACCAAGGCAGACTAGTGCTTCTAGGAAGGAAAAGGAGGAGAATGAAGGCAGAGGTTAGACTACCCTAGACGTGTCCCTTAGAGGTCCTAAGCCCCCAGACACCGTCTTTATGACTTTGGGCAAGTCACTTTCCCTCAGTGCATCTCAGTTTCCACCATGGAACAGACTTTGAGCTGGAAAGTACAACACGTCCCTCCCAGCTCGGACAGTCTATCAGACTCTCCCTAATCTCTCTTGATCCTAGGAAACCCCTCATTTCACAAACTTGCCCGAGGTCAAAAAGCTAGAAAACAACAAAACCTAAATTTGAGCTTGGGTCTCCAGTGAAGGGACTCTAGTCAAGAATTCCTGTTCAGGTGCAAGGTTGGACCAAATGTCCTCCCGTAAAGGACAGCTATACATCTTCTAAACAGGTCCCTCCCAACTCTGACATTCCCTGTTCTAAAGGTCTCTTCCAACTCTGACATCCTGTGTTCTAAGGCCCCTCCCAGCTCTGACGTCCTGTGTTCTAAGGACCCCCCCAGCTCTGACATTCTGTGTTCTAAGGACCCCCCCAGCTCTGACATTCTGTGTTCTAAGGACCCCCCCAGCTCTGACATTCTGTGTTCTAAGGCCCCTCCCAGCTCTGACATCCTGTGTTCTAAGGCCCCTTCCAGATCTGACATTCTGTGTTCTAAGGACCCCCCCAGCTCTGACATTCTGTGTTCTAAGGACCCCCCCAGCTCTGACATTCTGTGTTCTAAGGCCCCTCCCAGCTCTGACATTCTGTGTTCCAAAGGCCCTTCCAGCTCTGATGTCCTGTGTTCTAAGGCCCCTCCCAGCTCTGACATTCTGTGTTCTAAGGACCCCCCCAGCTCTGACATTCTGTGTTCTAAGGACCCCCCCAGCTCTGACATTCTGTGTTCCAAAGGCCCTTCCAGATCTGACATTCTGTGTTCTAAGGACCCCCCCAGCTCTGACATTCCGTGTTCTAAGGCCCCTCCCAGCTCTGACATTCTGTGTTCCAAAGGCTCTTCCAGATCTGACATTCTGTGTTCTAAGGACCCCCCCAGCTCTGACATTCTCTGTTCTAACTCCCTCTGCCCTGTGATTTGGCCTCTTGGGTTACTGTTTTATTTTTTATTGTTTTTTGTTTTTGTTTTGGGGGGTGGGTGCTGTTTGTTTTGGTGGGGGCAGGTGTAGAGGTGAAAGGGGAGGGAGGGCCAGAGCAGTGATCCAGCCTTATAGAGGGATGGGAGTGACCAAGCAGATGACAAGAGGTAGACGCACCCTCCTCTGTGAGCACTCTGGTGGTTGTTTCTGTGTCACCCCATGGAGCCTACCTGAGGCTCCCTACTGCTCCACTAACATTTCCCTGGTAGTCTCCCAGTAGACCACTGTCGCCCTAGTCTTCACACTCATCTTTCTTTTCTCCCTCCTTCCTTCCTTCCACCATATGCCCAGGCTGCCCGAGGTCCGGATCTCCGACAATGGGCCCTATGAGTGTCACGTGGGTATCTATGACCGAGCTACGAGGGAGAAGGTGGTCCTGGCCTCTGGCAACATCTTCCTCAACGTCATGTGTAAGTGACATGGGGCAAAGGGGGGAGCGAGGAGAAGGAACCAGGGTATCTTCCATCCAACGATGGTCAAGGAGGATGTGGAGAAGCATGGGGCCGTGCCTACTGCCAGCTTATAGAAATGGAAATTGTCCCTCGACCTTCTCTCCAGCACTCCTCCAGTCCTCTAGTCCCTCTGCCCATACTCTGCAGTGGGATGGGGTGGGATAGGGGTGGAGGATGTCAAAGAGAATGGGAAGGGTTCTACAGTGAATCTACCTTGTGCTGGGGCCCTCCACTTGTCAGTCTCTTCCCCCTCCTTCCCGAGCGGGCTGTTGATTGTTAAATGAGCCAACATTCATTGACTGAGTGAGTGTGTGTGTGTGTGTGTGTGTGTGTGTGTGTGTGTGTGTTGGCCATAGGGCAGGGGGAAAGGGACAGAGCTGGGCAGAGCTACATGTGCATGGGCAGGGTGCTCTGCATGTTACCAATCACCCTAATGCTGCATATTTTCAATAACTCTTTAAGGTTTACAAAGCTCTGTCTTTATAACAACTCTTGTGAAGCAGGCATCGGAAGCGTCATAATCAAGAGTTGGTCTTGAATCCCAGCTATGTGACTTATTAGCTGTGTGACAGGCACTTTCCTCAGTTTTCTCGTCTGTGAAAGGAGGAAATCAGAATAGAGAGCCTCTGAGGTCCCTTCTTCAGCTCTAGCACTTTGATCCTATGAGCCACAAAACACAAAGGCTGGATTCCATGCTCACTAAGGTCCCTTGAGTCCATGAAGCTCCTCCCTTCAGACTCCTTGGCATTCAGTTGTTCACTTGCATCCAATTCTTTGTGACCCCATTTGGGGTTTTCTTGGCAAAGGTACTCAAGCAGTTTATCATTTCCTTCTCCAGCTCGTTTGACAAATGAGGAAACTGAGGCAAACAGGGTGAAGTGACTTGCCCAGGGTCACCAGCTAGTAAATGTCAGGTTTGCACTCAGGAAGATGAATCTTCCCAAGTCCAGGCCTGACACCCTATGCACTATGGCTCCCCCTAACTGACCTTCTCAGTCTTGCCCAAAGTCCACTAGCTAAAAATCTAAAAATCAGCAAAATCTCAATTTGAACTCAGGTCTCTCAACTAGTCAAGGATTTCTGTTCAGATACAAGGTTGAATCAGACATCCTGTGAGCTCCCTTCCAACTCTGAGATCCTGTGGTTCTGAGTCTGTTTCCAGAGTTCCTTCCCCTCTGTAACTGCCTTTCTAGGGGGACTCAGCTGGGAGCTTACATGGAAAGGGGGAGGCAGTTGGGGTTGCATCTCTGTGCTCAAGAAATAAGATTGGGAGGGTCAGTTAGGTGGCACAGTGGATAGAGCACTGGCCCTGGAGTCAGGAGGACCTGAGTTCAAATCCAGCCTCAGACACATAACACTCACTAGCTGTGTGACTCTGGGCAAGTCACTTAACCCCAATTGCCTTACAAAAAAAAATAAGATTGGGGAGAAGTCTGGTGTAGGCCTGCAGGTACTCAGGCGACTGCCTCAAACTAGGCCACAGGCACATGGGGTGGGTCATTTCTGTGCCAGCCACTGGCTGGGAGGGGAGAGGCTTGGAATGAAGGAGGGAGTAAGGGAGAGAGGGAGGGAGCTGAGAGCCTGGGGGCTCAGAACACAGCTGACACAATGCAAGCCTGGAACGTTAGCAGGCCGAAGGGGTTGAAAGATTGGGAGCCAATTAACACTTCTTAGTAACTCAGGTACTGTCCTCCAAACCTTCCCCTACCTGCTGATTAATACCTGAAATGCCCTTTTCAGAGGACAGTGGGTGGCTGGGGAAGAGATCATTTGAGTTTTGCTCATGGTAGGTACTCGTTAAGTGATTCTTTAAAACGATTCATGTTAGTAGCGTTCCATACATAGTAGGAACTTTTAAAGTACTCGCCATTAACTGTGTTCATAGTGCACACACTAGGTATGCTTTAAATGTTTGCTCGGTTTGAATGTGCCTGCACAATATTTCTCAGATGCCTGCCCTTCTGCCCACTCACAGCCATCCCTAGTTCAGACCCTTGGCACCTCTCCATCCCACTACTGCAGCAGCCTGGTAATTGGTCTCACAGCTCCAAAGCATCCTTCGCTGAGCTACCCAACGGCATTTTCTAAAACATGGGTCTGACCATGTCATCTCACCACCCCCAAACTCAGCAAACTGCAATGGCTCCCTGTCATCTGCAGGATCACGTACGAAGTCGTCTGTCGGACATTCGGAGCCCTTTACAATTTGGTCTTCTTCACACATTTACACTGGTCTCCTTGTTCTTCCTGCAGGGCGCCCTCAGCCCATCTCCACACCTTGCCTGCCTTGGTCCTGGGTGCTCCCCCTCCTCGCCTCCACCCTTAGAATCCCTGGCTTCTCTCAAGACTCACATCCAGTACAGGAGACTTTTCCTGGTCTTCTTGACCCAATCCCACCCCACCCACCTCCTCTATTGCTAGAAGAGGGAAAGGGAGAGGGAGAGGGAGGGGTAAAGGGAGAAGTGAAAGGAAATGGGGAGGGGGAGGGAGGGAAGAAGAGAAAGAGAGACAGAGAGAGCAAATGAGAGACAGAGGAAGAAAGGCAGAGGTGGAGAGAGAGAGAGACAAAGAAGGGAGCAGGGAGAGAGAAAGAAACACAGAGAGAGACAGATAGAGAGAAAGAGACAGAGAGAGCAAATGAGAGACAGGAAGAAAGAGGCAGAGGGGGACAGAGAGACAGAGACAGAGAGACAGAGACAGAGACAGAGAGAGAAAGAGAGAGACAGAGGGGGAGAAACAGAGGCAAAGAAGGGAACAGGGAGGGAGAGAGAGAGAGAGAGAGAGAGAGAGAGAGAGAGAGAGAGAGAAACAGAGAGACAGAGACAGAGAGAGACAGAGAGGGGGAGGGAGAGAGAGAGAGAGACAGAGAGACTGGGAGAGGGATGGGAGGAGAGAGAACAGTCTCTGCCCTTAAGGAGCTTGCCACTTAAAAACCTGCCTTAGCATAACTGAAGAATTTGCTGCCCTCAGCTGAACCCCTCCTCCTCATCTCTTTAGTCTGTGTGTGTATTGAACATACCTGTCTAGTTACACGTTGTTCTCCCCATTAGGTTTAAGAGCAGGGAGTATCGTCCTTTGCACCCCAGCGCTTACCACATAAGAACCTAGTAATCAATACCTGCTGTCTGATTAAGCTTCTCCCACGCGCCAGGCACCGTGCTATGTGCTGGGCACAGTAAGACAAAAACAAGACAACCCTTTTCCCTAAGGAGTGTCTGTTCTACTGGAGGTGGGCCAGCCACACTGGCCTCATAGATGACCCTTCGTCTCTCACCTCCACGCCTTTGCCCTGGCTGTCCCCCATGCCTGGAATGCTCTCCCTTCTCACATCCTCCTCTGAGTTTCCCTGGCTTCCTTTAAGACTCCGTCCAAATCCATGGTGCTATTAGTGCCTTCTCTCTGACATTACCTCCCATCTATTCCTTCCATACCTTGTATGTACATAATTAATTTATACGGTGTTTCCCCCAATAGAACATGAGCTCCTCGAGGGCATGGACTGTTACTGTTTTTTATTTTGTCCTGGCGCCTTTGCACAGTTCCTGGTACATGGGCTGGGGGGGGGAAGAACGCTTATTAAACACCTGTTATGTGCGAGGCGCCATTGCCAGGTATAGGAGTACAAAGGTAAAACTAAAACAATCTTTAATCTCAAGGAGCTTACATTCTACTGATGAGATAGGAAGCTATAGAAATAAATTAATCTTGGATAAAGCTCTGGCCTTGGAGTCAGGAGAACCTGAGTTCAAATCAGTACTCAGACACTTGATACTTACTAGCTGTGTGACCTTGGATAAGTCCAATTGCCTCACCAAAAATAAAAGAAAGAAAGAAAGAAAGAAATGAATCTAAAATATGCTCAATGACATTAGCTAACATTTAGATAATGCCCTTTCAGTCAAGCATTTTTAAGTTTTTTATTTATTTAACTTTTAATTTATGGAATAAAATAATCATTTTTATAATGTAATATAATTTTAAAAATGATTGCACATGAAACTGCAAGTCTATTATGTACCACTTGCTTTTCCTTTTAAATATATAATAAAGTTATCATGTAAATTTATTTTTTTCCTTCACTCTTGCCCCCCCTCCACAAGCATTTATTAAGCACCTACTATGTGCTAGGCACTGTGCTAAGTGCTGAGGATACAAAGAAAGTCAAAGGACAGTCTCCGCTTTCCAAGGCAGTCTAATGGGGGAGGGTAGAAGGAAGGGAGAGATAAAACGAAAACAACTCGGGACAAACAAGATACATACAAGATAAATTGGGCATAGACTCAGAGGAAAGGCACTGAGATTATGGAGGACCAGGAAAGACTTCTAAAGTTTACAAAGCATATTATCTTATTTGAGCCCCATAACCACCCTGAGAGGTAGGTGCTATTAACCTCATTTTATAGATAAGTAAACTGAGGCAGATCAAGGTGAAGCGACTTGCCCAGAGTCACACAGCCAGGAACATTTGAGGCAGCATATGAACCAAACTCTTCCTATCTCCCAATCCAAAATTCTATGCAATGTACCACCTATCAGCTTTGTAGTGACACAACACAATTTGAAAGGAGACATCTGCTAATAATTGGGCATAGGAGACAGGGTTAGGTAAATCAGGAAAAGTCTCACATAGGAGGTGTACTTTGAAGGAAGCCAGGGATTTTACCAGGGGGAGGTAAGAGGGAGAACATTCAGAGCATTGGGTAGCCAGGCACAAAGGTGGGAGACTGAAGTTTATGCACAGGGAGAGCATGGAAATGGAATTCATGCCATATGAATGAATGTTGAATGAATGGACTCCAAGCGAATTAATTAATGTTGAATGGATGAATTAATGATTATCCAATGCATTATTGAATCACTGATGAATAAATGCATGCGTGACTGCTGAATAAATGTTGAACAAGTGCATGAATGAATGTTGAATGAATGAACAAATGAACTTTGTGAATTTCCCACCC